TTCGTGCATTCGAAGACAGCAATGATGGCATTTATCTTTTAACCAGACTAGATGGAGGCTTCAACATCTCAAGGTTTAGAGCAAAAACCCAGGTGAAAGAACTGGGTCTGAGAAAATTCCTGTTTGCAGATGATGTGTTCTTGGTTGTCCAAAGTGAATCTTCCCAGCAAAATGTCTTGGCCATATTATCTGAATCATGCAAGAGCTTCAGGATGGCAATTCATCTCAAGAAGACTATGATTATGTACCAAGGGGTGGAAGAACCAGTGCCTGACATCACTCTGGAGGAGAAATCTCTTGTTCTCATTGACAGTTTTTGCTACTCGAGTCCTACAATCATCAGGAATCTGGACCTTCAGACTGAGCTGACTAACAGAAATGGAAAAGCAACTAAGAATTTTGTGCATGGAATAAAAGAAAACTATCAGCTAAGGTGAAGATGCAAATCTACGAGACGTGGGCTGTCATCCCTGCTTTATGGTTCAGAAATGTGGGCTACATATGGTAGGCCCATCAAGAGACTGAACAGCTTCCACATGAAATGTCTGCATAAGATCCTGAAAATAAAGTGGGAAAGCAGAATACCGAACACAGAAGTGCTGGAGTGCACAGGACTGGCACACGTAGAAAACTGTATCAAGAAGAGAAGGTTGCAATGGATCAGTCATGTCAGGGAAATGGGAGAAGACTGTATCCCCAAGAATATTTTGCATAGTGAGATTCAAGACGGCTCTAGAAAGTGGGGTTGCCCTCTATGGTGGTACCATGATGCATACAAAAATGATATGAAGTTGCTCAACATCAACGTAGAAAGTTGGGAGGAGCGTGCGAAATCCTGCCCAATCTGGTGGGAACAGCTGGCACTGGGTGCAGCTCAACATGAAGTGGCTTTGATCCAGAGGATGGAAGCGAAGCAAGAAAGAAGAAAAGCAGCATCCTTTAAACTCTGGACTCCAACTCAGACAACATATGGATCTGTGAAACTTGTAACAAGCTGTGTCGCTCTTGAATTGGACTTGTCAGCCACAAATGGATTCACCAGGCATCTGACTAGACGTGTACACCATGATCCAGAGGATTGACAGTTGCCTACCATATATCTACATACACACACACATATATGTATGCAACAAGCAAAGAAAATTCCAACACGCACACACACACACACACACACACAGTTTATGTCATTATAAACTATAGTTATTTTTATGTATGTGTATGCATGAATGAATTAATGAATGAATGTATGAATATGTATGATTTTATATTTATGTATGTATACACACACACACTTATAGTTATAGGGGTATATAAAAACACATGCTTTTATATATAGTATATATATATATATTGTGTGTGCATGTCTGTGCATGTCTAAGTGTGTGTGTGTGTGTGTATGTATGTATACACATGCACACACACATACATACACACATATACACCTATATACATATACAAATACATATATATACATATACACACATACATATATACGCACACACATTCTCTGTGTATATACACACACAGTGTGTGTGTGTGTGTGTGTGTGTATTTGTTTACGGGCCTGAATTTATATTTCATTTACTGCATTCCCATCTGGCTTCCCCACCTGGCCTTTGATCTTGGAAGAGTGGATGTTTACAACCTCACTTTTAAAAGGGGCAGATTCTGAGAAAGCAGCAGTTAGGAATCAAATACAGTAGATGTAACAGCTCATAACCTACTGGACGGAGAAGCGGAGGCAGGAGTAGTGGCTTGGGACAGACCCCATCCTTTCATGTTGTAGGCAGAGACTTGGACATAATACCTTTGGCCCTGTAAATGAACAAAAATGGAAACAAAATGCATTAAACCTTAGATATTAATTTCTTTGCACTTTGCTTCTTTAACATGCCATACCTATCTTAACTGATATGGCCTTAAATTAATGACTTGAAAAATTCCTTCTGCTCAGTTTTTTACCCTTCTGCATCTGTATGGATTGGTTCATGCTAGGAGAGCGTTACTGGGGTAGGAATAGCAATGAGACTGGGGTTCAATTCTCTCAGCAGATTGAGGGGATTCAACCCCTGCATCCTCTCCTGCCTGCCATGGGAAGATCCCAACCTCCAGGCTATAGGATACTCCCTCCCTCTGTGCTGAAGCTGCCCAGAAGAGTATGTCAGATTCAGGGGGACGGAAAGACAGTGAGCAAGGAGGAGCAACTCTGCAGCAGCGTGCTTAGGGCACTCTGTGTGCAGGAGAGAATTCAGGGTTTCAGTCTCTGATCTCACGATTATTTCCACCATTTACCCACTGCCTTGGCAGGGACCACAAACAGTGATGGGAGCAGGGACCAAAGCTCTCTCCTCCAAGAGATTTCAAAGAAAGCAGAGGTAAGCCAGTGTGAGCCCTATTAAAAACCCTGCCATTCCTGTAAAGCTATTGCATCCTCATACCTGTGCGGAGCTAAAGGTATAACGAAGTTCTGCCCTCAGCATGCATTCTTGGAAGTGACTGCATGTTTAGCTGATTTGTATTTTAGTAAAGCTGTTTTATATTGCTGGTAAGAATGAAAAGGTAGAAGATGCAAGCGAGAGCCCACCAGCCTGGAAAAATAATGGGCTTCAAATCAAAGCTCTCTCCAGACAAAATGACTGAATAAAACAATCTCTTCCCAAACTGGTGCTGGAAGTTTTCACATTGTGCCCATCCCTGGACTCCCAGACAAACCTATTTAAGAATTTTAACCTTAGGGCACAGACAGATATCTGTACCAGCCTATGCTTCAGGCCAACGGCCAAGGTTTTTTGACCCAAATCTCTAATTCAACACCCAGTCAAGTCAATGGAAAGACTCCTATAAACTTTAGTGAACTTTGGATTGGGCCCCTAAAGAAGGCTTCCAGCACAAATATTTGTGCAACTTCTGAATGAGGCCAGCATTTGTGAACCAAAATTTGCTTCTACAAATGGTCTAAAAAGACCTGGCAGAACAGGGTTATAGACACATGGCTGAAGTTAGACTCTGTAAAAATCCATGTGAATATTCATGACAAGTTTTCTCCGTCACTAACCCTGTTCTTATCTGCACAAACACACACATCCTTTCTTTAAAAAGAAAAAGACGGCAGTCAGCAACTGTGTTCCTGAATGCGGTGGAGAGATAGAATTGTTATTTTAACCATCAGACATGGAGTCAGGACTGGATCACTCAGGAGCCTTTGATCTGCACTGAGATTATCCCGTGATCCAGAGAGCAGGGGCTTTCATTCCAATCTTTTCTGATCTCCCCATAACATGACAACTTACAAAACAGTTCATGCTGTTTGTCTATTCCTCTGTGACTTCCAGATTATGGATACCAGACATATTATGCTTAATGACGGGCAGTTGTTGCCAGAGGAATGGTACTCTGCTGTTATTGCCAAGAGGTCTGGACACAAATGTCAGGGCCCTTATATCACCAGGGGAGTTAAAGATCTAAATTAATGATTTGGCCTTTACCGTTCTGAGGCCTGTGATGATGCACCTCAAAGACTGAAGATTATCCATGATAATTTCCCCGGCCAAAGGAGAAAAGTCTTCAGAGCAGCTCCATTCCACTAGAAAATAAATAGCCAAAGAAAAGCAAATCAGATTTCAGGGAAAGAAAATTGAGGCATTTTATCACCTTGGAAATTAAGTAGCTGCCTTTTCTCCCACCATTTACCGATTAACTCCTCCATGTGGCTAGAGCAAGGCCATATGATGATTCACAGTGTTTTGTACGGCGCTCAATTGTCTGTGTGTGTGTGTGTGTGTGCCTGTCCGTCTGTCTGTCTGTCGGTCTGTGCGTGTGTGGGTATTGTGAAAAAAATAGCTCAAAAGCTTTTCATAAAAGTATGTTTAAAAATGCTTCGGCATGTGAGTTACAGTCATTTAAGCAATTTCCTTTTAAAGATAAAACAGCAGCAGGAAAGAGAGATTGTGTGGAGAACTGAAAGCCCAACTAAACCAACCTATACATCAAACTGGACAGAGAGCCTCCGGTTGTGCTGCTAAAGCCACATGGGTGGACCCTTGGGCCTGCATAGAGCCCCCCTGGCTCTCAAGGCAATGCCATCGGGGTCAGTGGCATAAGGAGGGTGGAGTGAACAGGGCAACCACCTCAGGTGCAAAAAAAAAAAAAAAAAAAAAGAGTGGCAACTGCTTAATTACAATTGTGATCGCGGTGGTAACCAGAAGTCACTGCTGCTTCTGGGTCCCAGGACCTCGGCTGCATCCTTGTACTGCCGATAGTGGTGCAGAGATCTGTACTCTGCACCAGATCATAGGAAAGCAGGGCTGAAGGGACCTCGCAAAGACATCTAGTCCAGCCCCCTACTTGAGGCAGGATTTCTGTGGCATAATGACAGAAGTCATGCAGACCCACAAGACAGATCGTTCATTGTGGAGGGAAAAAAAAAAATCAAGCAGTGTTGTATTAAACTGCCTTTTGCAATCAGACAGGTCCATCCTTTAGATGTAAGGATGTGGCTGCCCTTCCTGAAGTGCTCGCAAGCAGAAGAGCTGGCAAGCTCAGCCCCACTGCCATTAACATTTCCCCCTTTACGCCTTGCATAAGTGAACGGGAACACAAGAATACTTTAAGTCAGAGACGGGCAGATCTAGGAATTCGGTTTTCAAATGAGCACACGTGAATGGTGAATTGTGACTGCTGACAGAGAAACAGCCTATTTTTCTTAAGTGATATGCTAGGAATGGCGAATTCCCTGGTTGTAGCGTAGGGCCAGTTACTACAGCAGACTCACATTTCTGGGATTGAATAACTTGCCCGTTTCACAACCCGTCTGGCTCCACGGTGTGGACGAGCCGTCAGCCTGGATGTCTATTGCAACAAGTCCTTGCGGAGCTCGCAGGTGATAGACCAAATTCTCCTCTCGGTTATGCTCATGTCAATATGGACCAATGTCATAGACGGTCTGCGTTTACACAATGGATTTGGCCCACAGATTTCTTTCATTTTAGATCCTCAAAATTTCCCGCAGCGGCTATTATTTTCACGTGTGTAATTGTCAAGAGCTTCAGCTTTTGAAACCGAAGCGCTAACTAAAGATGTATTTGATTTCAGAGCATGACATTTTCACACATCTCAATGGTGAAGTCGGCTGTGCCCTTTTGGCATTTCGAAAAAAAGGGAACATTTCTCGCGATATTTTCGGCTCAGCAGACACAGCAGTGGGTTTCCACAGTATTTTGCAGGGTTACCAGAACAACAAAGGGCTTGCGTGTCTTTTCTGCCCTCTGCATGGCTTTACCCCTTCTTTCTGACTGCACCTTGTAATCTCACATGTTGCACAAGTATGTCCTGAAACGCTTTAACATTCACCACTAAGAAAAGCATATTGGTTTTCTCTATTGCCTTTGCCCCTTTTTAGATATAATGTCCTCGTGTTCCAGGGCGTTTTAACTACCTAAACACTGCTGCCTTTAACAGCAGTCACAGGGCTATCTCTATCCACCACTATGAAAATGTAGAGGTTATTATTGTAGCCTGTTGTGAAGTTTTTGCTGAGGATTTAATTATAGCAGGGCCTGCAAGTGCCACTGTAACTTGACGGCCTGTCAGAGTTTCCATTGTAAACCGCGATTTTTTCAGGGTTTTATAACTCAGCTGTATTAAATCACTCAGGACTGACACTTGATCTGCATCATGCTGCTACTTCGGGCATGTTTCTCCTTTCTCTTCAACTGGAGAGGCCCTTCCTCAGCTGTCGAATGTCTAACAAACAGATGCGTGGTCACTTCAGGTTCCTTTTGTTCTTCCTCAAATCTGGAGAAAACAAGTTGGCATCACGTGGGAGCAGCTTCAGCTGCCACAATTCGTGCAGGATACTACTTTACTCCGCCAGAGTCAGTGGAGCTGGCTGGCCAAAGGACCATACTACTCATCATGAGACATGGTGGGCATGCTGTGCCTCCTGCCGACACAAGCAGAGCCCATTTGCCTTTAAGCAATGCTTGGAGCTCTCCGATCCTGGGCCGTTCTGAAATCTGGACCATGCCCAAGCTCAGGGGGCCTGAGCTTGGGTGCGCGGCCTCCCCAGGGGTTCCCATGGGCTGCAGCCTTCCCAAGAGCCACCTCAACACTGCATGCTGGGACCCTGTCCTTGATGTACCTCTCCTGCTCTTCTACCTTTCCCAGGGGACCTCCCTCCTAAGTGCTTAGGTGAAGCAGGTAAGGAAGCACTGTAAACTCACACGGGCCCACATACATTGACTGAGTGATGTAAAAAGGCTTTGGCATAAATGAGGCTCGAGTCCAGCATCTTTTGCAAGTGTATGTCCATCAGTGAGCATGCTGGGGCCTTGTTCTTGAGTGGGACCTTTGCAAGAAAATGCCAGCCCTGTAGTAGAGCCAAAGACAGTTTCAATAGAATTTTAAATGCTGACAAAAACACTCTTCATATGTGACAAAAAATATCCCACGAGCTTTAAAAAAAAAAAAAAAATTTTACCCTACTGATGGAGTTGAGTGGTTTTGCATGATTTTTATTTCAATGCAAAAAGGTCATTAGAACTATCTGGCATTTTCAAAATGTTGAGTTTTCAGCTCCATTTTTCATAAAAATATTGATTTTTGATGGAATGCCAGTCCTTTCCATGAAGTTTTTTGCTGAAGATTTTCATCAGTGCAGTTTGTGCGTATATATATTTGCTCAGCCTTTATTTCAACAAGCTGGTTTTCACATTTTTGATCAGGTCTACTGAACGAGGTGATGACACAAGAGAGAGCATAGTTTTTAAAATAGGAAAAATAATTTGCAAATGAGGGAGTCTGTATTCACTTTGTACACACTGCCAATCTCTACCCTATGGCTATCTAGCTAAAAATAAGTCTAATTTCACCACTTTATTCTTATATGGAACTTTTCATCAACAGATTTCAAGGACCTTCCAAAGGAGTTTGGAATCATTTTCCCCATTTTACTGACGAGGAAACTGAGACGCACATTAAAATCATTTTACTGCATAATTAACTTTGTTCTATGGCTTGTTCGTTTACTTATTAGTATTTTCACATCACACAGTCTCAACAAAAAGAAGCCAGTTTGCCTGTAGCACAGAAATTGTAACATGGTAGGACTATAAAATATACAGCCAAATCCACATCCCATGCAAGTTATAGGGGGAGCCTTTCTATTGACGTCAATGGGCACTGCATCAAGCCCACAATACAGAAAAATAATTCAAGATCCTGATGCTTATTGGCGCATCTTATCAGAGTGCACTGAGAAGAGTTGTGTAAGCCCTTTCGTGCTATGTAATTTTTACCGTGCAAAAGCCTGGTTGAAATGAACAGATATCTGGCACCATTGATTTAAATATGATTATTTTGACTGTAATACGGGTAACAGGAAGTAGCATGTTGCAGAAAGTTTCTGCATGACAACAGAAGTCATTGCTAGTATGATAACGTTCTGGAGGAACTCCATTGAAGGATACTGAAAAGGAAATTGAGTATTAATGACGTATCACAAGCCCCAGCTATAATCTAGCATCCACACAGATGCAAGGAGACGCAGAACCCAATGCCTCATTGCATTACAGCTTCTGCATGTCATTCTAGGTGGGCAAAGAGGCTGCAAAATCCAGTGGATCTGGTCACTGGAGAATGCCTCTAATGCACTGGTTGTATAAGGGCACAAACTGAAATGTGGCCAGACTCTTCTGTGCTTTGCCTTCTCAATAATTGAAAGTTTGAAGTGAACGATTTCATCACCTATTCTTGTTACTAAGCCTCCATTGTCAATGGGGATTGCACAGACTGTGGGTATGTACTGAGATATGCACTTTGTTACTTAGCTGCTGAGCCACCAACGAAATAATGTTGCTTTTGAGCGGGGCGGGCAATTATTTTGGGTGGAGGGCCGCTTACTGAGTTTTGGCAAGCCATCGAGGGCCGCATGACAGGCAGCCCGGGGCAGATAAATATTAATTTTCTTAATTTTGGGAGGCCCTATGGGCTGGACAGAATGGCCTGCCAGGCTGCAATCGGCCCCCGGGCCGCATTTTGCCCACCCCTGAATTTGTAACACTTAGACACTGCCCATTAGAAGGGTTTTTATTTATCTTAGTTTTGGAATAAAAGGTTTAGAGGTAAAATAAAATAAAATAAAACAAAACAAAAAATAAAACAATGAAGACATTCCCACTAGATTACAACACTTTAAAGACTGGCACCATTACAGCTTTGACTTAGACCTGGCAGGATATTTTTGATGAATAACTTCTTTGCTGAAAAATGCAGTTTGGGGCTGATCAAAACAATTAGCTAACTCATACTAATTCAGCGACTGGCTTTGGCTGGAAACCCCCCCCCCCAAAAACTGGAAACATTTTTTAAAAGTCAAAACATTTCACTTTGGCATTTTCAGAGTGAAAAATGTCAAATTTCAATTTTCAAAATAATATTGTTTTGAAATTTGCCTGAAATAATTTATAATGAGAGGTAATTCCCTTGAACATATTTTAGTTGACATGAAACAATATTTTTCTTTGCTTTTTTTTTCCCCTTTTGTTTTCCCAAGGACATTGGAAAAAATACACTCCAGATCAACTC